GTTCCAACCCAGCCCTGGAGCCCGGACAGGCAAGCCTGGGCACCCCCAGCGCTGAGCTGCAGAGATTAGCACTGCCCAAACGTGTCTGCACCAGGAGGGTGTGCTGGCTCTGTGTCTGCCAGGAAAGGGTTTGCTCCTGGGGTCACTCTTGGGTAAAGCTTGTGGCTCCTTTATCTGTTTTTCCTATAATAACGCCTGTTGCCATCCATCTCTGTGGACTGGAGCTGCACTTGGTTTTGAGGATCTACCAGGTGAAGGAGTTCAAAGGTGGCTAGTTTTACCTGGAGCACATATGCTTCAAGGTTTGGTTAAAGTCAGACCAAGGCAAGACTGCATATGATGCATGGGGAAAAATCTTCTTGTGCCACTTACAACCCTCCTGTTTGCAGGATATCAGGAAAATAAACAGCCTGCCGAACCGTGATGTCTGGGTAAAGCAGCCTGGAGACACCTCTGGAGACACGAAGGTAGGCATGGAGCTGCTCTGAAAATTGGTGCATTCTCTGAGCTAGGGGCAGAGCCAGAACCTGCCCACTGGTGCATCTCCCTGGGAGAACCAGGCCAAGGGAGGGAGAGGGGTCATGTGGGACATCCAGGACCCCATGACTTGGGGGAGTCAGCAGGAGGGGACAACTGGAGGCAGCTGTAAGGATGAGAAGGCATCTAGTCTGGGAGAGAAAGGGAAGTGGCATGTGGTGGGATTTAGGGGATGCCTGCCTACCCCATCCCCTATTCAGAACAAGTATGGTCCTGGTTAAAGTAGCTGCCTTTGGGGGGTTTGCAGCCTCAGGTCTGGTCTCACTGTTTCTCACTTTCTTTTGCAGTTGTAATAATCTCAGTTGTAATAATATCAGATGATCTGGGAAAAACTGTTTTGCTCTGAAGATCAAAGCCCAGCCCTACCCAACTGTCCAGCAGCTCACTGCCATGAGAGTCCCCTGCGCCATGTGTGGGTGCACCCCAGGTCTCTGGGGTCCTCTGTTTGTGGGATAGGAAGGAAGAAGGCTGGAAGATTATCCCTGCGCCCCCAGTCCTTACTCGCTGCCTGTCCAGGAGTGCCCTGGCCTGGAGGTTCCTTGCAAATGCTGAAGGCAGGCTCTTGACTCATTTCTCCACAACATCTCGGTGTTTTGGTCCTGATCTCTCCCTATGCCCCATAACCGTGCTTGCAAAGGGGATCAACCTATATGTCTCCCTTGCAGCTGGATGATGTCAGTGGAGCACGAAGCTGCCTGACCAAGGGAGTTTCAGCTGCACGTCCATGGGCCATGTCC